TTGACAGAAATTGAAACCGAACGAATGGGACCTGTCAGCGCCTTGACGCCCCTCGAATGATATTGCTTGATACTCGAGCCTAGGCTCCCTTAATTTTTTTGCCACGCTTCCCACACTTTGTCCTACGAAGCTAACGCAGGCACGGCACGGTAGGCTGTTCGAGCGTCTCATTTTCTTCGGAAAGTTTCGTACACCGTGCCGAACGTAACGCCTTCATTCTTAGTGCTTTTTTTTTCTTCGTTTAGCAACAATGAGGATATGCGGAAGTTTACTTTCACTTTTACTGGCACGAAAGAATCTATTCTTCCTGTACGCCCTACATCCGGGCGAAACCGATCTGTTTCCGGTGTCGGAGTCCATTTACGAAATGTGGTAGGCTGCCGGTAAATCAACAAAAAATATTGTCGGGTGCTAAGCGTGATTCCTTTTTTACTGCGAGAGTGGATGATGCTGATTTTTTTCTTCGTGTGTTTACGTCTTATTCGTGAAGTAACAGCTCACAATTGATAAACATGCACTCATCAAGCCTGGCCATCGTGAGAATTATCGTGAGATTTAGTTTGGTTAGAGTTAAAAGCACGTGGCAGCTGTTAGTGAGCTCAGTCAACGATCAAAGTTTAGGCAAGGCAAGGCAGAGGGAAAAATGGCTGTGAGACTGTTGCCTGGCGTGCAACTGGTGCTAGAAGTGGCGCTCGAAAACAGAGCTGACAGGGTGGTGAAGCAAGGACGATCGCGTTCTTCGAAGCGCTCATCGAATCGCTTGAGCATGCTCACCCATAGTAGAGTATCAAGTACTCTAAACCACTACCCCTTTTTATAAACACACAATTGCTCTACCGCAGAGCATCGCCAAGCTCATGGTGGAGTCGCAGTCGGCAGAATTAACGGCAGAATTAATTGCATGCCCATGGCCTTAAAATGGGGAAAAGGGAAGCGTGGCGCGTATGGGCGTGACGCCAGACTCTATGTTTATAATTTAATAAATTACCTGATAATTAATATTTATAATTGCACAGTACTCTCCTACAGCTGTTTTTTTTTCATGTCGGTAATCGCACCTTCATTCACGTGCTTAGCAGTGCAGCACCTCACTTGCTACAAGCAACGGCGACGGCCATACGTTAACCTCATGGCAACAATGAAACGTAGCAACATTAAACAATATATTACCTTCATAAACGTCAGATTGCCGCATCATAAACGGTTATTCAGTGCCACTGAGATCTGTGAGCAATAAAGGGCTCGCTAAGAATACCGCATCTTTACTGTGCGGAAGATTTTGGAAAGAGTACGCAGTACGTAGGTTTAAGATATTCGTGGCGGAACACTTAAGGGGCCCGGATGATCGCATGCTGTCGTTGTCATCTCACGCCGCTTGGCGCCACGTGGCATAGCCATTTGTATCATAGCAAGTGGCTGGTAAATAGAAATGACATACAGGAGTGGAGTGAAGATGACCAGGATGAAATTGAAAAATTGCGGCGGCTTCGCACTTGCGGTGCCAAGCCAAAGGAAAGTGTTGACCGGGGAAGCCTTCTTCATGTATTTTATGTTTTCTCTTTTTTCCTCCTCTATGTCTTTATTTTCCTACTTTGTAGTTTTTTTTCTGTTTTTTTCTCTTCACTTCTATTATTTTTATTATTCTTGCCATTTGCTCTTTTCTTTCTCCCATTTTATTTCTGACTTGCTTGCCCCTTTTTTTCTATTCTTATGCCTGATTTTGCCAGCGTCACTCCAAATGTTGACAGCTAAGGCAGTACCTGCAACCCGCACCCTTAAATTACTGTGAACTTTATATTATCATTAGGGCACTAAAAGAACAAGAAGAAAAAGACTTATTCTTGGCACGAGCACGTGGTCAATGTATTACAGATGACTTTCTGTGCGTGGATTCACCAGCGTTATGCCAAGCCACATGAGACGACGACAACATATATCAGCCCTAGCCTCTTAAGTTCTCCACACCTGAAAGGGTAAGGCGTAACATAGCCACTAATGGTGTCAAGTAGGCAAACCATCTATACATAGCCATCTGAGAAAGAGCAGCAGAGGTTGATGAAAGGAAACAAGAAAGCGCTCCTTATACAACCCTAAACAGGTTCTCGTCTCAGCGCCTCAGGCTAGGAAAATGGCGAGAAGGAAATAAAGTTCGGAAAAGGAAAGAAGAGGAGGAGTAAGGCGTCCGTTTCCGAGGAGATGGTGGGTGGCTCGTACAGCGAGTCGTCCAGTCCAGTGTCCCCAAGAAATTTAATAACCGCCTTGAAGACCTCGACAATCAATGGCATAGCCATTTGGAGCAAGGGAGCGGGAAAGGGCGGATCAGCAGTGAAGTGAGGGTGAGCAAATGAGGGTGGGAGAAGGCAAAGCATGACATGAGCCGCACAGCATAACATACATAACCTTGAGTCGTATATAGTGTAATGAAAGGTGTGGGAAAAAGCAAGTGATGGTGAAGAAGAAATAGATAGAAGGGCACAACATGCCATGGCTTTTTATATAATAGCACAATAATAATATAGGAAGGAAGTGGAAAATAGCAGTCAAGGTAAAGTGGAAGGAAATAAGGAATGCAGTGGGCACCACTGTACCAAGCCTTATGCTAGTTACAGGTATAGAATTTCCCAAAACTAACCATAAGCAATTCTGGCACTGTGATCGTTCAGCCACCATGCTAATCATTTGTAGTACACAAGTTTGCCTGGTATTCGTGCTTGCGGGCCTCGAATGCAATTTTGGATTTGTTTATTGTTGTGTTTTGGTTTTGTTTCGAATAAAAGAATGGACCGTTGTGAGCTTTGTGACCAGATTTGAATGGGTAAATCTAAAAAAAACGTTAACGTGGTGAAGTGCAACTGCTGAACATTTGCTATTGTCGTCTCGTGACAAAGCAGCTCTAAACCACGCGAAGCCAAACAAAGCTGAAAGAGCGAAGGTTAGAGAAATATGTGTGCTACCCGTCATTCACATGTTGGCTGGAGCGCCGTGTGTTTCAGCTCTCATAAACACTAGCGCCTGAGTTTCCTCTAGTGTACTTACAAGAAACCTTATTCCTGCGGGGTCCCGGCACGCCTTTCGCGACGTTACAGACCTTGACCGATGCAGACGGGTGCTATCATTCATGCCGCAGTTTACGCGTTCATGCCGCGCAATGTTCAGACGCAAATAGTTAGTCGACCCAGTACTAAAAACGAGAAAACACGGCTGATAATCCTACGCTGCAGGCGGATATCCTCTCTGACACAGCTGCAGGTGATAGCGTCCCTCTTATTCGGACGAAGTCTGCGATTTCATGAAGGGAGCGCGCAAGTCTTGAAACGCGTGTGGTGGTCGCGGCAGTGCATCAGAAATGAAAGTTTCATTTGTCTCCATGAACATCGAGCAGGCTGCGTGCTTGAAATCCCAGTTCCCAGTTGCCCGAGAGAACGTGAGTGTCGCTTAAAGACATTCTTTATTGTGAGGTAAAAACAACAAATCCTCGACCTGCATGACGTTACGCCGATTCCAAACTAACACACGCATAAGCATCCACAGATTGCATACGTACTACCTAACAGCATACAGAGACATATGCCCGTGGTGTGGAAGTACACCGACGCTCTACCACATCATGTGGGAATGTACGGTACACACCGAAGAACACGAAGAGAGAAACAGCAGAGAGATGTGGGAGGCAATGCTGTCCAGTCCAGCTCTTGAGGACCAGCGGTGGCTGGTCAGGAGGGAGGAAAGGATGGCGAGAGCCAGCTGTGCCTTGAAATAGGGCCCATGCGGCGCTGCCCTGCTTTAGGGGCAACGAAGTCTTTTTTGCTAATAAACTTTTGTTCTTCTTCTTCAGCCTGCACCATAAAAATACAGCAGGAAATTGCTTAAGGGCAGGCAAATTACTGCTCCGCGCTTCCTGCAACTTTTACGTTCAATGTTTTACTTCATACGACGTGCTGAACATGTTTCCAAACTTCGTACTTTTTCGCTTGTACCTCGACGGCAGAATGGTATCTGAGTCTTCAGCTGAGCGTTCATGTCTTCCTGAATATTCCTCCTTTCCTCGAATCGGAATTTTGCGACAATGTTCTCTGAAAAATTCCTGTTTATGTAGGCGAAGGGAAAAGTATACAACGCCTATTCGGTGGAACATATTTTTCACAGAGAGCAAACTACTTTGGCTCGAAGTACACGCGCAGAGGCTGTGCATTCGTTCATTAGAGAAGTTGTCCAATACGCTTAGGATTTGATACCCTAGGTATTCTACTATTGGAAACCAGCCAGCCGTTCAGTTGACCAAAGCAACAGCACGTTGAGTGTTTAGAAAAAAGTCTTAAAAGATTTTAAATACTTTGTGTGTGCGTATATATAAAAAGGTGAATAATTTAGATTACTTGGTACTCTACTATGGGGGAGCGGATAGCCGTCCTAGTACACTTTAAAGTCAACCTAGCGAACGAAAAGCCGCATTCACATGTGTTAAGAAGAAGTGTTCCACGATTTAGAGTACGACAAATTCTAACTTGAGGAGAGCAATGAGCTGACCCATAGCCGACAAGAATAGCCTTCGATGCACGAAGAAACGTTTTAGAAAACTTTATTGCCACAAACATCAATACCATTTTAACAGAACTTCTTCTTCTTAGACATGCCATAGCGACGATGACAAAACAGGCTTCATTGTTGGCATGTCATTTCTGCCAGCGCATCAACACATTAGCCTACCAATACAAGGCCGGCCGAAAGACAAGTTTTTCCCGTCCGTCATAGACCAACACATAAGGGAAAGAGACCAGTGCTGAAGAAATTCCCCTTTACGGAGGAAGAAGAGCTCCTCCGACAAAACTGATAGCACCTCCGACTCTGTTTGGAAAAAGTTGTTAACGATTTAGAGTACCTGGTACTCTACTATGGGAGAGCACAGAGCCGTCCCGTGGGCCCCACCCACAACGTGCAGTAGCACTGCCGCGCACTCTCTCACTCTCTCGCGTTTACACTAAATGTATTTTCCCATGCAGGTACACTTCGCTGTCGTTGGCTTTAGGCAGCAAGATCGAGCCTCCCAACAAGTTCATGCAGTTATCCTGCTACAGGTAATAATTTCTTTAGTAAAAATAAACTTTTATTTCCCTATGTTCGTATTGACTATATCAGAAAAAAAACTATTTGCACTTCGGAAAAAATTGGCAGATTCTACGTACAGTGGGAATCGATAACATGCGAAGCACAAATGAGGAAGGTTGATATGTCACTTTGAAATTGGCACAACGTTACGAAGCGGAGGTCAATTACGCCTTACATGACTATCATGTCATGACTATCATGTTTGGACGTGCCATTTACCTTCGTCGTCTATTCACGTCCTGTGCTGTCAAATTTAGTATATGTTGAGCTATCGAAACGGCTGCCAGCACATCATGAGCGTGGTATGTTGTCATATTCTTACATGACACGCGTCCTTCGCAACCCATTGACGTCACGTAACACTGAACTTTGTATATGTGGAGCTAGCGAAACGGGCACGAGCCCATCATGATGGGCCCAATATACTCCGACGTAACGTTGACGCGCGCGCACGTTGGGTGCAACGATGTTACGCTAGCAAAACGCGAGCACTCTATAGTTGGGCGCTAGGCGCGACCGGCGTCCGTCGGCGCGGCCAGGCGGAGACCGGCGCGAACTGCGACACGCTGCATTTCGCGCAAATCCCCAAACCAGGCAAGCAAATCAGCACGGACAACCTCAGACCTATATCATTAACTTCATGTGCCGGCAAATTGATGGAAACAATGGTTAGAGACCGTCTCGCCACGTACCTCGAGAGCAAGGGGCATTTCGCAGATTCCATGTTTGGCTTTAGGCCCCACCTGTCTGCGCAAGATATCCTCTTGCAACTAAAACGAGACATTATCCAACCCATTCCCTCGACGCACAACGACAGAGTAATCCTTGCACTCGACCTTAAAGGCGCATTCGACAACGTTAAGCATGAAAGCATCCTGAAGAACTTGAGTAGTGTCCATTGCGGTAAGAAAGTATTTGCCTACATCAGAGACTTTCTCTCTGAAAGACTGGCGTTCATTCGCATAGATAACGAGGAACATGGACCATTCAAAATGGGGACGCGGGGAACCCCGCAAGGAGCTGTCCTGTCTCCGCTGCTATTCGACATCGCCATGATGAGGCTCCCGCAAGCACTGGCAGTAGTGGAAGGAATATATCATGCAATATACGCCGATGATATAACAATCTGGACGAATCGAGGCAGTTTAGGAGAAATTGAAGACCGCCTGCAGCAGGCCGCCTCCATTGTGGAGGACTATGCGGCCCAGTGTGGGTTGCAGTGCGCTCCAACCAAATCTGAATTCCTGCATATCAGAGAAAACATTAAAGATAGGACGACCTTGAACGTGATGGTATCAGGATCAACAATACGAGAGGTTTCAGAACTACGAATCCTTGGCCTTTTGATTCACAACAGAACAAAAGACAGCACCACGCTAGACAAGCTACAGAAAATTGGAGAACAGGTAGGGCACATGATCCGCCGAGTGTCAAACAAGTGCGGGGGGCTACGAGGAAGGGACGCGATTCGGCTCGCCAATGCTTTTGTAACTAGCAGGATTCTATATTCAATACCGTACTTACGAATGACTAAACACGAAGAGAACAGAGTCGATGCTATTCTTAGGAAAGTAATTAAGCGCGCACTTGATTTACCCATCAGCACTTGAAATCAGAAACTCTCTGCATTGGGAGTATTTAACTCTATACAAGAGCTCCAAGAAGCCCACCTCACAAATCAATATACGCGTCTTACGCAGACACCCCCCGGGCGGCGCCTACTGGACCGCCTCTTGATCCGGCACGAATGCGAAACCGAAAACGCGGAGCGTATTACTGAACTTTGAAGAACAAAACTCTGGATGTCCCCGCTTCCCCGCAATATGACCAGGGAGGCGCACCAGGGTAGAAGGCAAGCGCGCGCTGAGGCACTTGAACAACGGCTTGGCTCCCGTAATGGGGTCTATTACGTCGATGTGGCCGGGCCGTCACCTAGGGGATACTACACGGCGGCGGTAATACATCGAGGAACGCAGGTGGACGGCCTCACTTTCAAAGCCACAAGCTCAAGTAAGGCGGAGGAGGTGGCCAGTGCACTGGCAGTATCCCATCCAAACTCAAAACAAATAGTTACAGACTCTCGAAGAGCCTGCGAGAGCTATCTTGCAGGAGAAATCTCTCCATTGGCTAATAGACTTTTAAAATTCAGCATCATGAACCGCGATCCTACCCCAAAACGTCTTATATGGACTCCGGGACATCAGGGTCTACAGGGTAATGAGGCTGCACATGCAGTGGCCCGCGTGCTTACTTCCCGGGAAACTCCCCGTTCCCCTGATAGACCTGAACGTCCCACACCTTTAACACGGTTTCGAGAGATCAAAGAATACTACATTGAGCAACGCCGCTTGTATCCCGCACCAGCGAAGGGACTCTCGAAAACGGAGGAGCGCATCCTGCTGCGCCTACAGACAAATACGCTGCTCTGTCCAGCCATACTAAAATATTATGACCCTAAAATAAGTGGGCAGTGCCAGTACTGTGGGGAAGTGGCTAACACTTACCATATGGTCTGGGCCTGCCAAATGAACCCAAAATTAACCCCCTTTCTCAACCTCCCCAAAGAGGACTGGGAGACGACCCTACTCAATAGCTCCACACTAGAGGGACAGAGAACTTTAGTGCAGCGGGCTCGGGTGGCGGCCTCGACTAATGACGTCCCGGACTAGGGATGTCAACCAGCCCGGTGGGGATAAGGGCTATCTGGCACAGCCAGCATCAATAAAGGTTTTTTTCCTCCTCCTCCTCGCGCAAATGAAGTTACCCAGACGGCACTGCATCTGGCTCTCTTTGTGACGGAGGGACGCCGGGCTCGCTCAAACGCACATGCGTCAAGTCAACACACCGTGCACGCGGCTACGAGTATATGGCAGGCAGATCGGTGCCTAGCGTGGCATCGCCGGCGTGACGCGACGAAACGAACGCCTCCTCGCACGCGCACCACGTCACGTCGAAATGTAGTGGCGCCTTGAGCGTTTCATTTAGTCATGTGTTAGATGACACGCATCTCGGTATTGTCATGTTTGCACCAGTCACATACCTTCCTCATCTATTCACGTGACATATTACCCACTTTGGCATATGTTAAGCAAGCGAAACGGTCGCGAGCGCTTCGTCAGTGTGTCATGTAGTCATGCTGTTACATGAGACGCATGTCATGATTATCATGTTTGGACGCGTCATTTACCTATGTCGTCCGTTCGCGTCACGTAATACCGAATTTGGTACATGTGAAGCTAGTGAAACGCACGGGAAAGCATCATGAGCGAAGCATGTAGTGATGTTACATAACACGCATCTCATGATTATAATGTTTGCACCTATCACATACCTTCGCCATGCATTCACCTCCTGTAATACCAAATTTGGTGCATGGGAAGCTACCGTAACGGCCGCGAGCGCACCATGAGCGTGGCGTGTTTTATGTCATGATTTCAACGTTAGGGTCTGTCACTTGTATTCGCCATGCAGACATGTCATACCGTGCCCGTTTCTCAACATGCCATGTGAAGGAAACCTCTGCGAGAGCAGCAAGACCATAATATGTAAATCATGATATTCATGGCATGCATGTCATCATAATCATGTTATAACCAGTCATTATGCCTGTCATGCAGTCATGTTATGCCATACCGAATTCGATATTCATACCAATAACGATACGGCAAGGAGAGATAAAAGTCGTAGGTGGCTAGATAGATAGATAGATAGATAGATAGATAGATAGATAGATAGATAGATAGATAGATAGATAGATAGATAGATAGATAGATAGATAGATAGATAGATAGATAGATAGATAGATAGATAGATAGATAGATAGATAGATAGATAGATAGATAGATAGATAGATAGATAGATAGATAGATAGATAGATAGATAGATAGATAGATAGATAGATAGATAGATAGATAGAATAGATAGATAGATAGATGATCGATAGATAGATAGCTAGATACGCTCCAAGTCACCAAAGTTCACTAAGAAATGCTTCGCATTCAAAGAAACAAAAACAGCTCATGCGATTCTTGCAGAGGTGCCGGACAGGTAGGGTTCCGTGAAGGGCGCTTTCTCTAGCATTTCAATAACATAAAGGAAAGTTTGAGCTTGATGCAGCACACGGGCTGCCCTCCCGGCCCACACGGTTCGTTGTTTCGGAATCTCTGGTATCGCGGTGGGGAAATTCGACAATTGGCCTCTCAATCTATTTTTTTTTATTTTTAAAACTTGCGTTTGCCATAAATCGCGACGTTGAACAACTTCGCCATATAAACAACCACAAAATTGATTTTAAAAGGTTAAATAGCTCGATAATCAGCTCTTCTGAGGGATTTAATTTGTGGCAAAATCTTTCCACCTTGTCCTAGAGAGGAAACACAAGTGCCCAGCTATTATACTTTTAGGGGTTAATCTCTTTATGGTGTGGCTTGTGCGTCCTGTTGTTGTAGTACGTAACATGTTGGCTCATACCCACATACCAGTGGCACGTACCCATTCTCAGGAACATATCCGCATGCTCACATAGTATGAAAAGCGCAGCATGGCGTCGTTATCATGCTCTCGGTGTTAACAAAGCACTGACAGCAGAAATGTGGTACATACTCTCGGTTAGTCCTTGGATTGTCCGCTGGACAGCTGTACTTGTATATGATGGATATATGATAAAAAGAACTGAGATGGTGGTACTTGAAGTGTTCACTAGATAGGCGGACGGAAGCACGAATGGACAGACAGACCAAAACATGGACGGATGAATAAACTGACGCATGGGTGGATGGACACACGGACGGGCGGAAGCACAGATAGATTGACGGATGCTTCGCCCCACTCATCGTCACTCATGTCGTGAATATACTGTGACTTTTGTTTTTTTTTAAAGCAAAAATGTGTATAGCTTGAAAAAACACTGTATGTATATCGAACGGTAACAAGGGCTCAACGGCTCGACAGATCACTCCCACTATGAGAA